ATCGAGAGGGGAGACAGCGTGATCGTCGTTGATAATTTCTTCACCGGCCGGAAGGAGAATCTGGTTCATCACCTCGGAAATCCGAGATTCGAACTGATCCGACACGACGTCGTTCAGCCGATTCTACTAGAAGTCGATCAGATCTACCACTTGGCTTGCCCTGCCTCTCCGGTGCATTACAAATTCAATCCCGTCAAGACAATCATATCCTTCTTGTTCTTCCTCCGGTTTTCTTATTACATGAATTTTGTTTTCCGATTTTCAAAACGTGAATTTCTTTCAATTCTCAATTTCTTAATCTTAGGCTGAAGAACTAGCGCGGAGCATGTTTGGTTGAGATTGAACTGGAATTTCCTTCTCGTAAATCTGTTCTCTTCTGATATTTGGTTGAGATTGTCCATGTTTTTTCTCTTTGCATCCAATCTTCTTTCTCGCGTTGTTTCGGCATGATCATTTCGAAACCATTTGTTGTATGATTGTGAGATTTGATTTCTTTAACCTGATGGAGATCACAAGACCAATGTGGTGGGCACACTGAACATGCTAGGGCTTGCGAAGCGGGTCGGCGCTCGCTTCTTGCTCACCAGCACCAGCGAGGTGTACGGCGATCCGCTTCAACACCCGCAGGCTGAAACCTACTGGGGCAACGTCAATCCCATCGGTAATCCTCTGCCATGGCTGCCCTGCTCAGGCTCTGTTCTTCCTCTTCTTCCCTCTCATTTACTGATCGTGCTTCTTGCCGCCGGTCGGCCTTCTCTCCGCAGGTGTACGGAGCTGCTACGACGAAGGGAAGCGCACGGCGGAGACTCTGACCATGGATTACCACAGAGGCCTTGGAATTGAGGTCGCAAATTAAATCCGTTTTTACTGAAAGTTTTTCCGATCAAATTTTAGTTTAGAAACTTAGAATTTGCAGTGGCAATTGGAATGGAATCATCCATAATTTTCTTGCAGGTACGAATTGCTCGGATCTTCAACACTTATGGGCCACGAATGTGCATCGATGACGGTAGAGTTGTAAGCAATTTCGTAGCACAGGTACGCTTTTGTTGCTGTACTCGGTTCTTAGTTCCTATTTCAAGCAAATTGTGTTAGAAAATTTGATGTATAATTGTGTGCACAAAGATGAATGCTAATGGATGAGTAGTATTATCGTGTGGAAAAATACTTGGCTCCCCAATCGTAAGATGCAATCTTGTGACAGAAAAATGGAAAAACATAAACTTTTTTTTTAATAATGAGTTGTCAAATTTTTAATGGTGGTGTTTGGTGCTGAGCAACCAAGTATTTTCTCTTTGTGGGGCTATAGATGTTAAAAGGAGCTAGTTTGATAATCATTTTAATTTTTTTATATTTTTTTACTTTTAAAAATTAAGCTTATACACATTATTTTCAATTTCTATTTTATTTGTCTTATTATATATATATATTTTTTAATTTTGAAATTTGACTAAGAATTCAAGTTCTATGTAAAAAATGTAAAAGATACACTAAATAAACTATGAGGAAACAAAATTTTAAAAACAAAAAAAGGTAATGGTTATTAAACAAAGCTTTATGTTTTCGCTTTATTTTTCTTCTTATTTTTTAGATGTTATTTTCTATAAGAAAAAAAAAAGTCAAGTGGTCTAAATTTAGAATATAAGAAATGTATCACCATTCAACACTGATTTGGTCAATTTCGATCCTGATGGTGATATTTCAGTTTCGTGCTCTCTTTAATTTACCTTGAGTTTTTATTCAATCTTATAGGAGCAGGTAAGACCATAGAATTTACACCCAATAAAAGTTTATAATTAATGACGACTTTAATTGTAACTTATTCGTTATAAAGTTGCATAATAATAATAATTAATATATTGGCCAAGCTTCTAATTAGTGACAGACTTTTAAGTAACTTATTATTTGCATCACAATAACGATTAATATATTGGCTACATGCCAGATTATTGAAATTAAAAACTCTAATAAAATTACTCTGTCAACCCCCACAGGCATTGAGAAAGGAGCCGTTGACAGTTTATGGGGACGGCAAGCAGACCCGTAGTTTCCAGTTCGTTTCTGATCTGGTAATTGAATGCAAAGTTTAAATATAATGACCATTTTAAACATTATTTTGGTGATTTTTAGTCTTGATTTTAATTCATTTTAGAATTTTAGTACCTTCAATTTTAATAAATTTTTTGAAATATTGCAATAAATTTCTATTAAAAACTTTCAGTGTATTTTGTAAATAGGATAAATACCAAAACGAACTTTTAGTATATATTAGAAGTGCTATAGCTAAAATTGGCATTTTGAAACTTTATAAACTGAAATAGTATTTAAACTTGAAATATAATATCCCAGTGAAATTAGATAATCCCAAGAATAAATTTAATTATTATTTATTTATTTGGGTATGATCTGTAACTGACAGGTGGATGGTCTAATGAAACTGATGGAAGGGGAGCACGTGGGGCCTTTCAATCTGGGCAACCCCGGTGAATTCACTATGCTTGAACTTGCCCAGGTCAACTTTTTTCTCCCTATCTTTTTTAAATTTCAATCGTTAATTACTTTATATTAGTGATGAGACTTAGATCCATTCTAAAAATTGATCCTGTGGCTTAAAATAAGTCTGATTTATAAGTGATTTTATATGATACTGGTGTTATATAATACCATGGATCAACTGAAATTTGATGTAAAACTTGAACACTAAACTAATGTATTTCAAAATATAAAGACCAACATATAGAACAAATAATCTTACATCTTATCAAAGTATTAAGGTACTATTTGGTAATTATTTCGTTTTTAATTGTCAATTTTCTTGCAACCTAAGTTTTATCACTTTTCCCTCTTAAAAGTATATGTTTTTTAAATTTAGAAAAACCTTAATTTGTGCAAATTCAAAATTAGTTTGAAGATTAGTGATGAAGTTTGACTTATAAAGATCAAAAGTGACGTTTTTTTTTTCTTTTGGTGTGTGAGTTAAGCGATGATAGGCAGAGCATAGCCAAAATTTTGAATGGATATGGGCAAGGTTTATTATTATTATCATCTTTTGGGGAGTGTTGTGTTAAAACTATAATTGAAAAAGCTCTCAAAAGATATCCTAGAGGGTTTGGGTTCTCATTGTCATGCTGGTTTAGAGGTCTCTGGGTGAGTTTAATACAAAAAATTCTTGATGTGCAAAGCTTCGAGTTATCAAAAAAAAAAAAATATATATATATATATATATATAATTGAATAGAAATGAGACGAAAATAAAAACAAAGTACCAAAATGGTCCATTTATGAAAGTATAAGAATCAAAATAGATGTTTCGAAAGTACTTAAATAAAAAAGTTTGAAAATGTCAGGATCAAAATTGTCAAAACTGAATCGAAATCGAAACTATTTTAAATTGTTTATATAATTTTACTTTTTAAGTTTAATGACAAATCAACAAGCGAGAATAGAAGGGAAAGATTCAAAATTTAGACCATGAATAAATATGATAAATGTTTTAGCCAATTGAAATTGAGTTATGTTCGGATCATATACTTATTTTTCATATGTGTAAAAAGAAATATGAAAAGGGTATTATCGTGCAGGTAGTGCAAGAGACAATAGATCCAAATGCAAGGATAGAGTTCAGAGCCAACACAGAGGACGACCCACACAAGAGAAAGCCCGACATTTCAAAGGCCAAGGAGCTTCTCGGATGGGAGCCGTCGGTTTCCCTTCGCAAGGGCCTTCCCCTCATGGTCTCCGACTTCCGCCAGCGCATCTTCGGCGACCCCAAAGACACCGCCGCCACCACCGCCACCTCCACCGACGCCGACGCCATCGCCGCCGCCCTCTCCACCGCCACCTCCTCCGTCTAGTACTCTTCTCCCCATACAAATTAATACCACATATATAAGAGATCTCTAAGAATAACACTTGGCAGTTCCCACTGGGAGTGGGACCCACCACCTCCTCTCTCTCTCTCTCCTCTGCTGAGTACAATTTTTATTCTGAGGCCCTAATCCCTCCCTCTCTCCCTCCCTCTCTCCCTCCCTCCCTCCCTCCTGTTCTGTATTATATTTTATATCGTTTAACCTATTTATGAAAAATTTTCCCTTTTTTCTTTTAAATGTTATTTGTTAGTCTTAAATCTGACTCTGAGATATGAAATATCATTTTTGTTGTTGATGCGAGTGATGTTCATTTACTTGATAATTAAGTAGAGAGTAAATAATGTATTTGAAAGCTAATTAAAACTACTATAGGACAGGAATACAGTAAACATAACAGAACAGCAAACCAATAAATATTCTATATTTAGTACATTTTATAAATCATAAAGTAAATAATTAAATAGTTAGTTAAAGAAATAAAAAATGAAAATTGAAGCAAGGGCAAGGGCAGGCATTTCTGAATGAACCAGAATCGTTGGCCATAAAAGGGGCGCACCAATTACATGTTGAGTTTTTGACGGTAAGTTTGTTGTTGAAATTGAGCTTCTTCCAAACTTATAATTTTATCATTTCACTGAACAATTTACTGTGTTTTTCTTTGAAGGATCTGTAAGTGGGAATAATGTGGCTGAGATCTGAGTGTATTTGTTTTTCAATGGTGATTTTGGGGATGGCATCGGTGAGTTTGAGTCAACTGGATTTGATAAGAAGTCTTCTTGGTCTTACACACGTCCAAGGAACTCTCTATTGCACTCTTAATGGCAATTTCATCTCTGGACTTCTAACCCCAACATTTCCAAGTCAGTTCTAACTTTAAACCTCCTTTCTTTTTCCTTTTTTTTTCTCCTCCCTATAATTATGTATGCTTTTAATAGATAAAAACGTATAGTACTATTTTTAAAGGTTCGGTGGTTCAATCTCTCCACCTTATTGAACTAAAAAGTACGTTAGGCTAATGGAGACATTCTATGTTTATAAAAGGAATTGAGTACCAATTGTAGATAGTGCTAATGTAAGACGTAATTCGGTGTCATTTCTAATAGTTTATAATTTTACCTCATATTATAGATAAAATTGAAAATTTACTCCTACATGTTAGAGAGAAGGAGGATGTTGTAGGACAATATTTATGTGTGGTCGGTACTTATCCCTATGCTATTACTGGCGCGTGGTGGCGTAGTAGGTTTGTGACTGAATGGGGATAATACCCTTTATCAGTTAGAGTCTTGCAAGGTGCGTAGTGAGACTTCCACATCGAAATTTGACCACTCATTATTTTTAAACAAAAATTTTCTAATTTTGTGTTTCTCTATTTTTAAAAAAGTTGTCAATTTTTTTAAGGAAAATACTTGGCTCTTTACCGAATCAAATTTTATCCTCGACGCCATTAAAAAATTGACAATTCATTATTAAAAAAAATCTATTTTTACATTTATCTCGTTTAGTTGTCATCGTGGCAAAGACAAAATTGACATGCTAACCCATTAATAATAATAAATAAATATTTTTGTAACGTTGTTTTGCTATTGTTTAAAAGCAATTAAATTTAGGAGTTGATTAATGATTATGTATGTGTTGAAAATTGAAAATTGAAATAGATGCTGGGGTGGAAATGCAATGTGGATCCGGAACCGTAATTTCGTCGGTGAAAACCGACACGTCGGGAAGGTTTTCGATGCTTCTGGATGCGCCTCTGTTGCTGCTCTCCTTCTTACTCGACAACTGCAGTCTCGTCGTCACGACGCCGCTCGCCGACTGCGACGCCGCGCTGCCGTCGTTCGGCGGCCTCATCTCGCCGCTGCAACGCATCGGAAACACATTTCTCGGACTCTTCAACGTCACCAATATCGTTCCCTTAGGCTTCCGCTTCCTCCCCTTCCTTTAATAATCCATTAAACGGAATAAACCGAATCTTTTCCATCAATTTCCGACATTCAACGGAACGGGAACGGACTCGTGTTTCGCTCTATTTTAAATTGTAATAAAGCTTTACTGTATCAACAACTGCTATTTCCATTTTCTTTTTCCTAGAATTTACCGTTGAAACACTGTTTAGCTCGCTTAATTTTATCTCTAAAATAGGTTTACTGATGTCGGTATTTTTTTAAAAAATTACCAATTTAGTCTCTCCTTTTTTTTCACATAAGTTTTACCCATTATGAAAGGTCTTTAATATAAAAATAAAGTGAGAAAGTATTAAAATAACAAAATGTCTGTGAAACCGAGCATAGCTCAAATGGTTAAGGTACCTATATTTGATTAAAATATCATGAGTTTGAACCCTCACCCACACATGTTGTACTTAAAGAAAAAATGACAATTTTTTTTTCTAAGAACCAAGGCTATTTCCTTTTAACGTGGCAAAAAGAAGAGAAAATGAATGTAATGCGACATAAGATTGTGCTTTTTTCTCATAATTTTGTTATGCTACGGTCACTTCATCATTCAATTATATCAACTACTTTTAAATAAAATCTAGTAATGACATGATGATTTGAAATATTTAAATGAAATCGCGTTAACAAATTGTGTATCACACGAGGCAACTAATTTTCAAAATGTTTAATATTCACTTGTGTTTACATAGGTATATTTTTTTAGATCAACGATTATATAAGACGGAGGATTTGATAATAAGTGACTTTTCTATTTTTTGTCGAAGATTGTAGGCTCATTGGTTTAAAGAAGGGTATGAAAAAATGTGAAAGAAAATATGGAAATACGGGAGTACTCCTTTTACTCACAGTGTGATTTTACTTTTATAAATAATTTGTTAATATTTGTGGACTCTGCATTATTTTTAATACGATATTGACGTGATAGACTATGAATACGAAGATTAGAAATCAAATAGTCAATTTCTCCCAGTTTTTAGGGAGCTTGCCATACACGCCTTTTCCAGCCCCCTCCACCTCACCACGATTAGGATACACTCGAGGACCTCTCTAACACTATGTTCTTTGTGTGAGCAACTATTCCAATCTAGTTATGTAAATGATTTCCTCTCATAAGCTATAAGTTATTTATATATACTCATTTATTCATTGTCTAATACGTTGACCTGTTCAAATGATTGAAGAGATTATTTGTGATAATGGAAGACAATATGCCTTGGGAAATTTTCCAAAAAAATGGGATAGAATTTAGGGTACACGTGGCAGCCGGTGAGAGGCTACTGCGAGAATGCTTTAAGCGGGAAGTTAAAGAAATTCAAAGATTTATGCCGCCACAATGACCGAATCCAGACGACGGCGATACCGTCGAACGCTCAAAACTTCACAGCCATGGAGGACGCCATATCCCGCATTATCACGGAGCTCGAACAAGTCCGCCATTTCGACGACTCCACAAATCTCCACTCCCATCCTCCGCCGCCGCTCTCCGATTCCGCTCTCTTCGATCTTCAGAGCTTGTCCGACAACTCACCCGGCACCGATGAACAAGAACCACTCGACCGCCTCTACGAGGACCTCTCCGCCAAATCTCTCTCTCCCTCCTCTCTCGTCCGCGCCATCGCCTCCGCCATGGACGAGCCTTCCTCTCGCATTTCCATCTTAGCCTCTAGAGTCTATCTGTGCCTTATTCTAGCCCCAAATGCGCCGGTTTTTACACTGTTCAATCCGATGGATTTTCTCTCGTTTCTCCGGTCTATTCGGCGACTCTTGAAGCATCGACCGCGGGATCCACCGGATGAGGATAATCCAAATCAGGAGTCCAATGCTCCCAAACGGAAGAGGAAGGGCGGTGTTAAGGTTATGGGTTTGAGGAATTGTTCTCAGAGGCAGAGTTTGAATAGTGGAGGCGACGATGGTGCGTTCGATGCTAGAGTTTTGTATCCGGTGCTTGAGAGGTTAGAGACTTTGATGGGTTTGATTCATTTAGATCGATTTCCGGATAGTTTGAAGTCTTTGGTTGAAACAGTAATTGACATCCCGGTTTTGGCACTTGAAGTATGCACTAATTTAAGCATCTATAGTAAGTTAACCAATTTATGTTCGCGGATTTTGAGTGCAACGTTGCGTCCCGAGCATGGGGATATGGCTAATACAGCCGCTGAGGTGATAAAGTCTCTGTCACCGTTGATTCTTCATCACAAAGATCAGGCGCGAACATTTGCATTGGGGTTTGTGACTGTTCAAATAGTGAATGTGGCAAATGAATCCGATGGAGTTAGGAACGCTCTGGTGAATCTTCCAAGGTATTTGGTTCAGAAGGCACCAGAGAAATCCGAGCCTCGTGGTCTAGCTGTAGATTCAATAATGGAGGTTGTTAAAGTGATGGAATTCAAGGATCAAATTGGGTTTGTGGATTATGTAGTGAAGATGACACGAGGGAAGTCTAATCTTAGGCTGTTAGCTGTTGATCTTATATCAATGCTTATAACGTCTTTGAGTGATCCGCTGGCTGTTGATTCGGGAAGCGAACTGAAGGATTCATGGGGTTATGAGTGCTTGGTAGCATTGATTCAGCGTTGTTCAGATGCGGGTGCTGCAATTCGTGCTCGGGCACTATCAAACTTAGCACACCTTGTGGCGTTCTTATCTGAGAATGACAAGAATAAGGCCTTATTGAAGGAAGTGTTGGGGTCTGATGGCAGAAATTTCAGAACGGATGGAAGTGGAATTCTTGATCTTTTGCGAAAACGGTGTGTGGACGAGAAGGCAGCAGTTAGGAAGGCTGCATTGTTTCTGGTTACCAAGTGCACAGCCCTGCTGGATGGAGCAATGGATGGAGATATGCTGAAGACTGTGGGAATTGCTTGCTCAGACCCACTTGTTAGCATACGGAAAGCTGCAATGTCAGCTCTTTCTGAGGTAAATTTCAGTTCAAGTAATTGAGAGAAATTTGGCTTACATTTCTAAGTTGGGTTTATCAAGTATAAGCTTCAGAACTTTAAGTTTATATCATTTTCGTTCAGATGATATGTAGGAATAAGTTATAGAAGCTTGAATTTGTAACTCTGTATAACCTTTATTTGGCTCGAAGATGTATGATGGTAGAAGTCAATAAGTAATATAGAAGATAGGTTCTATAGACCTTGAATTACAATTAAAAATTAATAACTAATACTTACCTATAAATATAAGTTTAATTTATCAGTCTTGAGTTATACTTTTAAATGAACTTGTGTCTTAAACGAGGGTAAATGGCATTCCGGCACATTGCATTTTAGGGATAAACTATACTTTTAGTTACCATTGAGCATCCAGTGGTTGTAGGATATTGTAAATTTCTTTTACCATAGATTATCTTCTATGGGGTTTTTTATATTTTGGTATTCAATTCTGTTATGCATGCTTATAGCTACAATTTAAACTTTTCATTCATTCTTGGTCTTATCTTAGTCTTATGCTGAATTTGTGATTACTTTATAGGCCTTCCGTAGATTCCCAGATGAAAGTGTAATTGTCGAGTGGCTACAATCTGTTCCACGTTTAATTGCTGATAATGAATCTAGCATTCAAGAAGAGTGTGAAAACTTGTTTCAAGAGCTAGTACTAGACCGGTTGTCTAGTGTTGGATCCTCAAGTTTACCCTGTGATGGATCAAAAACCATTGATTCAAATAGGGAATTTGAGTTGTTATTTCCTGAAAGAGTATTGGATCTTCTTAAAGAGATAAGTCATTCAGAGGTAATGCCTTGGGTAAAGAAAGTTTGTGCTAACTTGGGGAAAAAAAATCGATTAAAGCGCACAATTTCTGTTTCACTTCAGACAATTATAAAGACATCTGAATCTTTTTGGTTAAGCCATTCTTTGCCCCCAGAGAAGTGGACAGCTCCCCCGGGTGCCTGGTTCCTGATATCGGAAGTATCAGCTTATCTTGTGAAGGCAGTTGACTGGGAGTTCCTTCACCATCACTGGAAACTCCTTGATAATCATGGTAGGACTGCGTTTCAGTGTTCAGTGGCTCCAGCAGGTGTATTCGAAGACGAAAACAGTCCGGAGTCAAATTCCATTGCGTGGGCTCGAGATCGAGTTTTTCTCTTGCAAACCATCTCTAATGTTTCTCTTGAGCTGCCTCCTGAACCTGCAGCAGATTTGGCTCACGAATTGCTTAAAAGAATCGAAGAGTTCAGCATGCATTCAACAGAGGTATGCACCAAAATGATTGCTTTCTGGCTCTGTTTTACACCCTACCATTATTGGTTTATTTCTCTACTGCTGTTGTTTAGATAATCAAGACTCAAGAGTACAATTCACCAATACTTCTGTCTTTTTCTTCTTTTTATTTGTGATAGCGTGTGCTGGTTTACACGTATTTCGGATAATCTTACTGGACATCCACCTAACTTTATAATATTTAGTTGTCAAGAAACTTGTAGATAATATCCTAGTTAGCTGTGACCTGAACTCAATAACTAGTTTCACCCACTTTTATGGATGATTTCATCTTTCGAACTTGTACTGGTATATGAATCCTGTCCATCAGGGATTAAGTTCTATACTTCATATTTTTTCCTTACACATGACTTACTGACTGTGGTCATCTAATATAATTGTATGCTACACTTTTACTAGGTGAATGCTCACGTAAAAACACTTAAAACATTGTGCAAGCGAAAGGCTTCGCAATCTGCTGAAGCCGATGCCCTCATCCTAAAATGGGTAAACCAGCTGCTTTCTAAAGCCTCTCACATATTGGAGAAGTACATATCTAAGCATGCAGAAGCAAAAAAAGATGTGAACTTCATAACACCACCTCCTAAAAGTGGTAGTAGAATGGGGAAGAAAGCAACTGCGAAGAGCAAGGTCTTGTCACAAGCAATTACTGCAGTTTACACCATTGGCTCTTTGATTCTCATCTGTCCATCTGCTGATATGACTACCATCATACCACTGCTCCACACCATTATCACTTCTGGTAACCGTGATCCCAAATCGAATAAACTACCGATACAAACAGTATCTCTAAAGGAAATTGCCCCTTCTTTATACGTTCAAGCATGGTTGACAATGGGAAAGATTTGCCTTGCTGACGAGAAGCGTGCAAAGAGTTACATTCCTCTATTTGTACAGGTTAGGTCTTGATTCTTCAGCTTTATATCACTGAAACCTGATCTTTCGATGATTTGAACGAATGTTGTTAAACAAGTAGATTTCTAGCGTTAGTCTGGTTTCAAAGGAATAATTTCGCAACAATTACATGACTTCAATCATATAATTTCTTTCCAGTAGACAGACATACATCATAGAATGGAAGTGCTCCACCTACTTATAAATTTTCATTGATTTGTTTATTTATGGAGTTCTTTCTTGCATAATATTATACACATGCTCATGTCTCTATAAATAAATACCAAAGGTAAGATTGTGCTAGAGTTTCAGACGTTTTCCTTGTTTTCATCTACAAGATTTCAAGTTATATTACTTTCTCAGTGCCTTTTACATTGTCAAATTCACTTACGATACAACTCTAGTCGGCTGAAATTTTATGTCTTTTATGTTAGTTCAGGAGCTTGGAAATAGTGACTGTGCGGCTCTTCGCAACAACCTTGTTATCATGATGTCTGACTTTTGTGTACGCTATACCGCTCTAGTTGATTGGTAAGACTAATACATGACTCAAATATTTATGGCAGTGACAATGACAGTGAAGTTGTTTTTTTTTTGTTTTTTTTTCCTAAATAAATGCTTATTCCAAGTTGCTATCTCACTAACTCTGAATTGAACAGCAACCTTAAAAAGATAACAAAGTGTCTTCGCGACCCTTGTGAGCTTGTCAGAAGACACACATTTATACTTCTATCAAGATTACTACAGGTAAATCTTCCTTTCCCCATCCCCAAAAACTTCTCTGAATTTTCACCTTTCCATGTTAATGAGCAACAATCATGAGTAGTACTACTTTAATTTTCAGAGAGACTATGTGAAATGGAGAGGGATTCTGTTTCTTCGATTTCTCTTGTCACTGGTTGATGAATCAGAGAAGATTCGTCAACTAGCAGATTTCCTTTTCGGGAACATCCTAAAAGGTTAAATTACCAACCGTTCTCGTGGTTATAAGTATTGGTCAAGTCATTACAACTGAATTGTGAAACTGAATTTGCAGTGAAGGCGCCACTTTTGGCCTACAACAGTTTTGTAGAAGCAATTTATATCCTGAATGACTGTCGTGCCCATTCTGGACATAATGATTCGAAGGCTTCACGAGCTGAGAGCCGGCTATTCTCCATTCGGTAGAAATGTTTGAACTCCATGACTTGTTATTCAATTACCCATAACCGAAAATGATCATCTTTTGTTTATCCTATCAACCTTATTCTTTCAGAGGTAACGATGAACGGTCGAGGTCCAAGAGAATGCACATTTATGTTTCTTTGCTAAAACAAATGGCTCCCGAACACCTTTTGGCCACTTTTGCCAAGTTATGTGCAGAGATTCTTGCTGCAGCATCAGATGGTATGCTTAATATAGATGATGCCACTGCACAATCTGTTCTGCAGGTACAAATCTGAAAGCATCCAACTCCTTTATGTTGTTTTTGGTTCACAAACTAGAATCTTACAAGTTCCCCTTGACTGCAAGCACAGGACACCTTTGCTATTCTTGCTTGTAAAGAGATCCGAGTATCGGTAAATCGTGGATCATCATCAGAGTCTGCTGATGCAGATGAGGAAGGAGGGGACAGCGGAGCAGCATCTGCAGCTACTGCCAGAGGAAGGGCCATAACTCAGGCAGTGAAAAGGAGTCTCATCCACAACACCGTCCCCATCTTCATAGAGTTGAAAAGACTATTGGAAAGCAAGAACAGTCCCCTTATAGGTATGAAATATCACCCTTAAAACTTAAACGCATGAACTGATACTTGATATTTAATCTTTTATTCATATTCTTTAACAACATCAACAGGTTCCCTGATGGAATGTCTTCGAGTTCTTCTCAAAGACTACAAGAACGAAATCGACGACATATTGGTAGCCGATAAGCAGCTTCAAAAGGAACTCCTCTACGACATCCAAAAATACGAAGCAGCAAAGGCGAAGTCGACCGTCGCGGAGGCTGTCAACGAGATGCAGAAGTCGACCAGCTATCTTTCTCCGGAGGTTCCTCCTCATGCCAGAAGCTCCATGAACAAGTTAGCCAAAAAGCTCAAAAAAGACTCGAAAGTTGCTTCAGCCATTGCTGATGCAGCGGCTGCAGCCACAGCGAGGACTGTACTGGAGGAGGTGAATAAAGGGGCTTTGACACCGCCCCTCAGTTCTCTAAGTTTGCCTAAACTCAAGTCTCGTACAGGAGGAAACAATACCAGAAATGCCTTGCACTTGGATGTGATTGAATCTTTGAGGAAACGGCAGTCTTTTGAGTCTGATGAAGAAAACTGATGTGCATAGCCTAACAGGTAATATAGTGATATAGCTACAAAATTAGTGGAGTTTTGTATGTATCATATGATTATTATTATTATTATTTTCTTCTGTTTAATGGGGGCCTAGTTGAATGGTTAGAAGTATTGGCCAATGGCATTGGCATCCATGTTTGAGGTGGGAAATCTTCGATTTGATTGAGGTTGTCGAGCTCAGAAATAAGAATAAACTTCAAATCTAAGTAGAGTTGGAGGAGTGTGAAGAATGTATTCCCCATCTTCATCTTATTAGAAGTAAGTCGTTATTTTTTAACTTTTAACTTTTAATTTGAATTTTTTTCAGTACAATATGTGGGGTGGGGTTCGGGTTTGAACTCGTGCATTTTTTGTTGGTGGTATAGGTTAATTACTGTTGAGCTACATCTGCTTTGACAATTTTTAATTATTCTTAATACATATTGCTAAAAAAACTCAATTTTCTTTGTTTCAGAGTAAGTTTGTACTTCTATATATATATTGTGAAATATTTCGTTAATGGTTACTTATTAACTAAATAAATTTAGAAATATTAGACCAATATGAATATGACTAAACTATTTGTCGTACCTATCTTTATTTGTTGTACTAAAAAAATAGAAATATTGAAAAAAATCTTTTTGGGAAATCTTTAATCTTCATTCGAGGAGGTTTGAACTTCTTTTTTTTTTGTTCGAAATAGGAATTTTGAACACATCTTAATTTTCTTGTAATAAAGGAAATTTCACCTTGGTTAATAGCAGACAGCAATTGTTAGAATTTCACGTAATATATTAATGATTTAAATAATTAAAATAAAGATTAGTTAGTTAATAAGTTATTGTCTCTCGAAAATTAAAAAAAAAAAAGTCAATTTTGAGCATAGTGATATTATGATTGTAGGGTTTGATCCTCCCTCCATATCCGTATTTGCTAAACTTAAAAAAAAAATGTCTAGCAAATCAATTACTCGTGGATGTAAATAATTAATTTTAACTAAGATATAAATTTATTGCTTAAATTTCTATATTAGAAATGACCTGCAATGCAATACAATACCTTAAAAAAAGAAAAAAAAATTGAAAATAACCTGTAAAATTCAAGTTATTTTCTAATCCTTTTCTCGATATTCTCCCTGAAGGTCTACCAAGACATCCATGGATCAAATGTCCTCTCCGCTGAGGAATGGACGCCATGGCAGCAGGTCGACTCCGAGCTCGGTGCCTATGGCGCTTGTAGGAATTCTATCTCCGGAGTGACTCCAGATCCTCGTCTTTCTCCGAGTTTGAAGCCGTCAATCTCCTCTTATCAGGCACGACTCTCCCTCTTTTTTCCTCCTTTGCAAGCGATCGTGTATATATCTTGTGAACGATGATGCTGTTTACTTTCCCTTATCATCACTTTTGTGAATTTTTTGATCCGCTTGCTGCCTATTGGTGCGTAAATTATAGTGGAATTTTCCTTTGCTTTTATTTAGGTCTTCTCCATTTCGAGTTTGTTGATCAGCCTAGTTGGAATTGTATCTGAAATTGCGCTGAAGGAAATTCGGCGAATTAGGTTCTCTGCAAGATTGTGTCTGTGCAGTTATGGATGGGAATAAGGACGAGGCTTTAAGATGTATTCACATAGCGGAAGCAGCAATTGCGTCGGGCAATAAAGCGCGAGCACTTAGATTTATTAAAATTGCTCGGCGCCTTAATCGGAGCTTGCAAGTTGATGAGCTTTTGAAGGCGTGCGAGGAGGTCGACTCAGGATCACCTACATCTTCCTCCGATGAAAAACGCGCGGGAAAAGTTGAGAGTGTACCTGGTTCGGCGAAACATGTCGAAGGTTTGAATGGGGAACGTAATTACACTACAGAACATGTTCGATTGATTAGGCAGATTAATACAACCAAGGACTATTACAGAATTCTTGGTGTTGAGAAAACTAGTTCGGCGGAAGAGATTAAGAGGGCTTATAAGAAACTGTCGTTGAAAGTTCACCCTGATAAGAACAAGGCTCCTGGTTCAGATGAAGCATTCAAGAAATTATCCAAGGCTTTCATGTGTTTGAGTGATGATACTTCGAGGAGGCAATATGACCACACGGATTTGGTTGATCAATACGAGTACAATCAACAGCATAATGTTAGGCAGAGGAGAAGGAGAACGGGTCATGATTTGTTTGAAGAAAATTTTGATCCTGAAGAAATATTCAGGGCATTCTTTGGTCAAGGAAACATGTTTCATTCAAGTAGTCGTGCTTATACGTATAGAACTGGAGGTGGGGGCAGCCAACAGAGGGCAGAGTCTAATGGGGGAGGTCCCAACTTGTTGATTCTTCTTCTAATGTTACCATTCTTGTTAATTTTCTTGTTGGCTTATCTTCCCTTTCCAGAGCCCGACTATTCTTTGCATACAAATTTATCCTATACTATTCCAATGGCAACTGAGAAACATGGAGTGGAGTTTTATGTCAAATCATCAGATTTTGATGTAAAATATCCTCCTGGAAGCCTAGCTCGGGCTGAAATAGAGAATACTGTGTTGAGGGATTACAAAAGCATGGTTTGGCGTTATTGTCATATAGAACTCCAGAGACGCCAGTGGAACAAAAATCTCCCAACTCCTCATTGTGAGAAGATGAATAAAGGTTCTCTCTTTTCTTAGGAAAGAGATCATACTATCTGTCTAGAGATATTTTGCATGTGACCCTCCTGTTGTTAGCCTCATTGGGCCTTTCATGTGTTTTAGACAGTTTAGACTCGTACTATTTAATGCTCCTTTCCCTGTCAAGTCTCTAGAAAAGTAATTAATATGAATAAATAAGTCTGTACTTACTAGAGTCTTCTTTCGTGAGCCTACCAATTACCATGTGTGAAGTAACACATATTTGCTTGTGTCGAAGGTAACCGAGCTTTTCCCGGGTAAGTATGACATTTGAAACTCGCTGACTAATGGGAAACAGTTCTGTTTCTATATAAAATTTGTAGTTCTGGGATGACACTCCATGCTGATATGCAGAACGCTCATGGCTGGAACACAAGGGCTATGTCCTGAAGACTTCTCGGGGTTGAGCTTTTCATTCAGGGAGACTAATCATCGGCGCTGGTATGATACTACAATCTGTAATTTTTCTACATCACCTCCACTTGAAGTAGTATGATTCATTCTCGAATCAAGTCGACATAATTGTACGAACTGAAAGAAGATAGTGATTTATTTCTAGACATTTTCCATATGTTGAAGTGAAGCTAAAGTATTGACTTTGGTGTACTTTTATTCATCATTCCCTTTTTTCCTTCTCTTTCAATTCTTTTATGCCCATTTTTATTCGTTATTTGTTTTTATTTATTTGAATATATAATACAAGATTCGTGATACGTGTGAAGATAATATTCAAATATCACCCAGACCTACTAGATTATTTGGTAAAACAGTTATAGAATCTGTGACATGAATCTTATGGGAAAGACGATAATTAAGCTTTATCTCCTGGATAACTCTATTCTTTAGCTATAGTCTACTTCCTGCATAATTAACGATACAAAATCCTGGATAACTCGTATACCATACTTCATTCTTTGTTTGAACAGGGTAGACCCAGTTGCTGAAAATTAAAAAGAATGTAAGGTTGTATCAGGTTGCAACAAGGATTGATTTGAGGGATACATTTTTAAGAATTCTAGACGAATGTAATGAAAAACAAAAAAAACGAGAAACAACCGACAAGCTCCACCAATAGAGATAATGATAAAGAATGCTATCACAAATTGTATTGAAAACTTCTCCAACTCAAATTCCTTAAAAATCAATGTCTTTCAGAGGTACAACGTCAACCTCAATACATTATTCATATAAGCCCAACCCCAGGCTTATCTAAAACTTTAGTATAAATACAGAAACAGACTCCCAGCTGAGTTGATTGATCTTACATCCGAGGTTTAGCACGACCTGTAGGAGCACTCTGCAAACAAATCGCACAACACAAGCACTACTTTTAGAACCAATTATCATAATAAATCTGAAACCACAAATGTAATGACGTTGCCACACACCGAAGATTGGAATTGTATATTAACATGGTTAAGAATACTCGTTCATATTACCCGAGATATGAATTCAATTTTTGCAGAATACTCATTATATCATTGCTACGAAAAATCTGTCAATTGGGAAGGCTAGATCATTCTCGACAAAGATGACCCCATGAAAGGTGATTCAGGAATGTTTCATATTTTATCAAAAACCAATTTTCATTTCCAAGCACAAGTGATGTAGCGTCATATCATGTAATATGAATTAGTAGTTATTTGTAATTTTATTTTAGTTTGTTGTTGGTTAATTGGTTTTCCTCTATAAATAGAGGGTAAATCTCTTGTTTAGATACTTTACAAGGTTCCTTAAAGAATTTTTTAGAGTTTTAGGATCTTTGTTGCTTGATTGCATCACAAAAGCACTGAACTAGATACTTAGATGTAAATTCATCGGCCTCTTAGAAGTTGGCAAGCAATTTTAGTGTTCCATCTAATACTTGCACCAAATTTTGACCTAGAAATTTATTCCATCACAGTTTTTGCCTGCCAAACCAGACTAGATCTGTTTATTAGCTCTCTGTTCTGACAAGAGTTCAGCTCTCGCTCTATGTGGAAGATGCATATAAAACTTGAGGGTTGTTTTTATAACAAGTTTTACGGAAAATCAATACATTGGATTGGATATGATTCAAAGACCTTTTCCTTTCCTATTGGGGCCTTACTGGTGTGTGCTTTGTAAAGGTGCCTGGGAAGATCTTTCATATGGTCTTGTCAGATTTCTTGGGAGATTTAGGATTGTTTTTTTGTGTGCTTTGGGATGTCTTCAGAACATAACAGGAAATATCGAACGATGATGGAAGAGGTGTTGTCCCCTTTCCAGGATAGGGGAATGTTTCTGTAGCTAGCCTGGGGAATTTGACTTGAGAGAAATAATAATCTCTTCCGGGGTGGAGAGATCTAGTGAGGTTGTTTGTGAGCTTATTGAATTGAATCTCTATGAAAATTGATTTCTAAGTTCTTTTGTAAATTATTAGTTAAGCTTGATTCT